TGTTTTGATAACTCAAATTTTCAATTTCATTGAACTATATCTTAAATTTCATGTACTTTCCATATATTCATGAAGAGGTAAATAAATTCTTATACCATAAAGGCATAGACTATGGTGTATCTGGTAAGATGAACCAAATTAAATTCTTTGCTTTTTCAACTTAAATTTATTTTTCATTTTTCTTTTAATACAAAAAATAAATATATAAAAATACTCTGTATATCATTAAAATACTCTAATTAAGATATTTTAAATGACACTCATATTAATATTTTTATTTTAATATTTTAAATTAACATACGATTATATTAAGTCACTATATTAAATTAGGTTAACTTTTACAATACTAATGCAATATATTATTATATATACTAATAAACACTAAATAAGTTCATTAAGCTAAGCAAACACAATATGTTCATTTTAAAATACTACATATTCATGTTCACAATTGTAATGCCACTAAATTACATGATGGATATTGATCAATTAGATTCATTAATGAAATATAGGAGATTCATTTTCACAATATATTGGTGGTTCATTTTTACAATACTGAATGTTCATCCTTATAATAATATAATAATACAACTACATCATAATATTGATAAATCAAAAATAGGTTCATTAAAAAAATACTAGAGATTTATTTTCACAATGTAGAAAGTTCATTTTGTCAATATTGCCAAGGACCTTGTGGTCTAGCGGCATCAAGTTGCTCTCTCAGACCATATGGGAGGTTGTAGGTTCAAGCCGCAGTGGATGCGATATTGACTCTTTGTGCTTCAGTAGGTTGGGAAAGTAGTTTTGAACAGATAATGCATTGTAACAGAGTTAGTAGTACTCAAAAAAAAAACTAAAATTCTAAACATATTAATATGATGAATATCACCAATAAAATATTTTTAATAATATATTCTGTAACATTAATTTTTCGAGGTTCATAATATAATTTGTCAAGATAAATTGAGTAAATTTAACTTTAAAACTCGATATCAAACTGTAAAATATTTTTGCTCACAAGAAACCGAACCCAAACACAAATCCTTAATGCATTAGTTTCTTTCTTGCTATTAGCTTCTCTCCTTTTTTACGACAAAATTTATATCATGGACCAAGGGTCCAAATAACATTATGAACCTTGGATCGAAACGACAAGGTATAGAATTCATACTCGTAAAGTACATAATTTCATACCACAAGATACAAAAAATCACAATACAAGGCACATAGTCACATACACATTATATATTTTATTGTTTTTCAAATATGATTTAGGTACATAATATGTATTCATAGGCACGAAATTTCATAACACAAGACACATAAATTCATAACATAAGATACAATTACTAATTTGTTTCAGGTACAGAATTCATAATCTTAAGGTACAAAATTTCATAACACAAAGCAAAAAAATTCAAAACATAAGACAACATACACATGTACCGGTCAGTATTCATAATGCATTGTGAACCCTGATTCATAGTATAAGGATTGCTTTTTGACAGGAACACATAAAAAATACTACTAGTATTTCATAATTTCTTCTATTAAGAACCTCAAATATTGTCCATACCGACAAAATTATGGGCAGGACATGACCTTAAAATGGGGAATCCTACAATTAACGTGTTGGCGACTTGGCGGTGGTGACCTTGGTTTTGGGTTTTTGGATAATGCATTCCAGAAAAAGGAAGAAACTAAGAAAAAGATGATGGACATAAAAGACTAGCTTTGTGTCTACGAAAGGCAAATGCCCATCACCTTTTAATCAATTAATATTTTGTCACGATTACGACATAATTAGAGTCACTATTCAACAAAAACATGGCTTCCTGGCTGGTGTTTAACTACAAAAAGTAAAATGGTTTTAAAGAATTCATCTTTTATTTTTAAACTTTTAATTAAATTTCTAAAATAAAAATAATTAGAGAGGATGTGATGTATTTGTCGCAAGTGGCTATTGAGAAATGAAGTGAAGTAGGCGAGCACCAAACCCTAAGTTTCATCTTATTAAATCTATTATTGTGTTGATATCGTGAAGTTAGAGTTGAACTATTAGACACATATATCATGAAATAAATTCATGTGCAAACTAGATGACAATTCATTAGAAATAGCTAAGCTTATTTGTCACAGTGATTTATTCCTCCACTATCCTGTTAAGTCTAGGTGTGAAGGTTCTGAAAACAAAACACTATTCTATTGGTTCGAAGTGTGAAGATTTTTGGGATGAAAAATTATCTTTTTGTGGACAAGCTTGTTGGTAAATGAGAAGGTATGGAATAACTCCACGGTTCAATTTGCAAGGATCTTCACCAGAAAAGCTAAAAAAAAAAAAAAATTGAGGGACTGGAGAGACGCGACTAACTCAGGAAAACAGAAATTGTAGTCATCAGGGAATCTTGAAACAGACTCTCTACAGGTGATTCAATTCAAAGCATTAATTCTAGTAGAGGAGTCTCTTCTTTCCATATGATTATTAGGGATATCAAAAATCTGTGGAGTAGTTTCTCTAATGTAATGTGTTTGTATCTTTTGCAAACGACTAGCGTATTGAGTTACCCATATATTAGCTAGACAGGTCGTTTCTACACCTTATTATTCAGAGTGATTTTATAATCCTCCCCTATCATCTTTAATGTTGTCTTCGGACTTGAGTAATGAATCTTTTCCTTAAAAAAAAAAAAAAAAAAAAAAACTTAAATCACTTGTGGGTTGGATTACTTCCCCTTTTGATTGCCTTGTTTATGTAATCCATTCCAAAGGAAGAAGAAAAAGCTGTCAGATAAAGATATGCTTTAATTTAGTTTGTGCTTTCACGTTACTTCAAAAGCAAACTAATTTCACGCATTAAAACAGTTAATTTTATTTTTTGTCCTAAATTTATAAGTGACAGATCACTTTTAGTTTTTCTTTTTTCATAACATTCCTTTTTTGTCTTAATATTATTGTAATATTTTGTCTTCCAGGCCACTAAGGCACCAACGTAATTATTGAAATGTCGTTAAATACAAAGACATTTTGATCTTTTTTATATAAATAATTGAAAATCTAAATGTCATTGTACTTTACGAAATTTAAACAGTTTTGTTGATAAAAGATAAAAAAAAAATAGTCATGCCACAATAATATTATGATCAAAGGGGATGTTTTTAAAAAAAATCACAAATAAACTATAAGCTTTGTTTGGTAAACTATGATTGAAACGCTACTTGGAGTAACATTTTAAAATATATATATTTTTCTTTTTTATCCTTATTAATTTAAGAAAATGACAGCATATACCATTCCTAAATCAAAATCATAATATCTCATCTTATCCTTTTATGTATTCGACGGGGACGAGCGTTATATGAAAAATAGAAGAAACTTAAACGAAAGTAGAAAGAAAGGACTTACCGATAGATAGAACTTGGTGAACGGTTGAGGAGGTGCAGAATCCGATCGATCTACAACGTTAATGGCTCGAGAAGCTCCGATTGATTTCCACAGCGTAGTGAAAGTAGAAATGAACCTTGCAAGGGCCTATTTATAGGACCCCTTTTGGCGGCAAAACCAGCCACTTGCATGTGGTGACTGTTCCGAATCCCAAGGTGACTGCGGAGTGACACGTGTCTCGGGTGAGGGCAGCTGGGAGGTCGGGGCCGAGGGCCCGGGTGACGTGGTCTTCTCATCCCGCACTGGTTTCTCCCGGATGGCCCGAAACGGCCAGGGCTGGGGGCTCTTGGTAGGATATATCCCGACCAACCTAAGATGTTCTCCGTGTCATTCAGTACAGTTCTTTTGCCCGAGCGCTGCAGCGGGAAGACAGTCGGTAACGGTCGTCCATGTAACCTTGTGCTGATCTTCTGCTTGGAGGCGTTCGAGCCCGACCGGCTGATTCACCTCCCGACCGGTGTTCTGTTCAACCTTCATACCTTTGCCCCACGTGGAAGCGGTATCGTTGGAGAGGGGCATGTGGCAGCGCCAGGCGTCGACAGAGGGTGGCCACCAGGTTTTGGCACGTGGATGCCGCGTGGAGTACATGCCGATAAGCCGGACGCTGTCCCCGGCGATGGGCTATAAATATCCACGGCGAACAAGATGAAGGGGACTTTTAGAAGGATCAAGAGGCTACTTACAGAGCTGCCCGATTGCAGACAATCGGCTCTCGGAGTAGTCATTTAGATTGTACTAGGTCACCCGTGTATTTACACTATCAGTCTTTATGCACTTAACAACTCATTCAACAACTAATTTTACAAAACACTTTAATTTCAATCAATTAGCTCATTAACTACTAATTTTTAGCTAAGTCTACCAAATAAAACCTTGAGTATACCAAAAACTATGTGATCAATACCTTTAGAAAAAATTACAACATAAAAAACACAGAGTAATTCTTAAACCAAACATGTTTATATTACATTAATTTTACCAAACATATTTTCATGTATTTCAATAAACTTTAAAATTAAAATAAATAAATAAAATAATGGTAACATATATAAGTACATGATTTAAAAATAATTAACTAAAAGCTTGAATTTGAGAAACAAAATTACTTTATAAGTTAACATGATGTAATAAAAATAAAATAAAATATATAATTACAAAAATAATTAAATATGATACATATAATAAATTAACATAATATATATATTTTATAATAATTGAAATTAAAATAGCAAAAGAATAAATATGCTTGAAAATCTTAAATTGCTTGAGAATTGTGAAGGAATTACATTCCCTTCAAAATTCAATGTGCAGGGTATGTTACATTCCTTGGAAATATTGTATTCCTTTGAGAAAGTAAAATAACTTGAACCAAACATGAGAATGTAAGCCTTAAAATGTCACATTTCCTTAGTTATGTTGTATAACTTGAACCAAAGACTCATAAGGTTCTGCACAATAGCTCAAGCTGTGATTTGATTGCATGTGAAATGTGTATATATAACATTTCGTGTAACAACACAATAAAATCTAGAGTACAAAAGAACCTAACATTCAGCTTATTCAATAGAATTTGAAATTTGATATTGAATCTCTCAAGCCATTGTGTATGATAAAGGTGAATTGGAATATCACATCAGTATCCACAGGTACAAGTACACATGCAGCATATGCTTACATATATATAGTTATATAATATATATTAAGGGTTCCAAGAGATTATTTGTTAAAGGCTATGTACATCTCGATGTTCGATGGTATACTCACAATTAGAGGATGCAACACCTTAGCACAATCCCTTTTTGATCCACCCGCCCATCTTCGTTGCCTGCTGAAGTTGAAAGCGTGTGAGAAAGAGGGCGCGTATGAAATATGTGTTTTTCCCAGAAATGCATCAAAATACAAGCCATGAGTGGAACAAAAATATGATCTGTAATGCTGGCAAGTTTTTCTAACATGCATTTTTTCCCCGGATATTTTAAAATTTGGACCAGATATTACAAAGACACAGTGACGCACCTTCAGGAGGTTGAACTAGCTTTCGATTTTGGGGAGACATCATATCCTTTTTCAACTGCAATAATACATCCTCCATTGTGTGCTCCCTTTTCCAATCAGCAAGCATGGGGAAAAGAATCGGTTCAACCTGAGAATTGCATCAACCATGAGCAACTTCCCATACATCATGCCAATACACCATAATATGATATTAACCAAACAGTGAATACTACATACCACACCAGTTTCTTGATTAACACAGCTCATGTTTATCCTGGTTTGAAACCTTACACTGGGTGGTTTATCAGGATAATCCTGTCCGCAGAACAGCTTCAACTGGTAGATTCGCCCTTCATGTACAGTCTGAAAGCACCATATGCTATTACTTATTAGCACAGCTTTTATCCACTAACTATAAAGTCATTATGCAGTCAAAGCTTACAACTCAGCAGCGAAGACTTTCATGAATATTTCAAACAGAAGTGCAACATGCAAATGAAACCGATTAAATAAAGGGTCAACTAAGAACCTACATTTGGAGGACCAATTATTGTTCCAGTCCAAGACTGCATGTAAACATCATCAGCATCATCCATTCCATAGCTGACAGTTCCATCTCCTATTCCCTTTTCTCCCCTCTCAAGTTCTTCTAGTAATCTGAAGTTTCTTGGAACTGGAAATGCACACAAAATCATGCAGGAATAATTATCAGAAGATCACACAATATGATGCCTCCATTACCATCCACATGCCATAGTTCAAGATATCAGTCAAAATGATTTTTATTTTTATTTTTTTCACTCAAAATTCATTTAGAACTCCACAATTAAAAACTTAAGCAATTTTACATTTATATCAAATGAAGCAAGAAAACATTAATTTAATTGAAACACTGAGCCAGGTAAGCATTGGGAGAAAGGGTTTGTGCTACACAAATGCAAGAACCAATCATGTGAAAGTTCTTATGATTAATTCAATCAATCAAAACTAGTAATAATGCCCTATGAGTATATACAATTGCTTATTTCTGACTGCATTAGTGTTAGAAACAAAAAACAGCTTGAAAGAAAAACAATAGCCACATCGCCACAATGAGTTTCCCTATATTTTTTGAAGAACAATTAAGAGACAGGCAAGCCCTATGGTTGTAAGTTGTAACAAAAGAATAGGGCAGTACACCCTTACAAACCTCCAAGAGAAAATTGAGTCCATGGCCAACCCCAAACCTTAGGAACAAAATGGCCCCCGTGCTCCAAGAGTTAGATGTCTTCAGAATTTTAGACATGTAAATATGTAATATGCAACCAGTTGTCCCCACCTCGTTATACATAAATTCAAATGTGTGGCTGATACGAAGTTGCTATAATCAGTTAATGAATTATCAGTACTTGTTAGTTATTACAAAGAATCTTTTCTAAAAAATTAAACTAAAACCACATACTATGTAGTGGCTTATAGAACCAAAGGTAATGGCTTCGCAGCAGCTAGGGTGTGAAACACTTCTGTAGAAAGAGTTGATGATGGTACATAGAGAATTTGAGGAGATTAAATTATAATTTCTTATACATGTTAGTGTTAGAGGGCTAGAGGCACTTGGGCAGGCACAAGTTTTTGACTTTAAATTCTCACCTTAAAGGCACCCTTTAATGAAGATAGAAAGCAGTCAAAGCACTACTATGACAACATCTATTAAGGACACAGAAATTATACAACCTAAATGTTAGGATGGTTTTGAATTAGGAGCTGGATAGATTTTATTGTGTTCATTAATGGATCGCTTTGAATTAAAAGGGTCCCCACTGCAATATCTTTCCCAGCAGACAGCAGTCTGTATAAAAGGTTGTATTTGTTTCTTTAGAAGGCAAATACAATTAACCATAGTTTCCCACTTTTAGAGGCTTCAGACATTCGCTGCTCCTTCATTCCTCTGCCCTGCTTCTCTCCTCTCCATTTACTGTGTGCCTCTGCCCCTCACCTACGATATTCCAGATTCTCCAAGATTTTTGAAGCTTAACTTTTGACCAAGCAAATTGTTTTTATAGATTCTTTCATAATGGCTTAAAGATCCTTCAAATGTGTTAAGTCTTTTATTCACAACTTTAATTTGTCAAAAGAATTTCTAAATTTTATTACAAAAATTATTTGATTTTATTAACTGGTAGAATGTTCCTTTCTTATAATTAAGATTTTATTGTCTAGATGGTGGTTGTCCTTTATTCCTCTGCCTCTATTGTTGTTAGTGAGTAGATAATTATAAAATAAAAAACCACTACTTAGTCTTAACCTTCTGATAGGGACTGATCTCACATGACCAAGTATTCTAAGCTAGGGGCATCTAAATTTGAAGCAAAAATGCAATATCTAGCATGCAGCACTTCCTTTGAATTGTTATCTTAATTCTTATATACAGTTATGAGATAATTTTACCGAACTATCTATCTCCAGAGATCCTGATCGTAATCCAGGAATTGGTTTAAGGACAGTTACAAGTAGGGGGAAAGGTCAGAAGAAGAGGAAATGACCAAGTCTTACCGGAATGTCAAACGACACTTAGAACTTGGAAATTGGTTGAATTGTCATTTTCCTCATTTTAAAAGAGTTGAAATTGTTTGCTAATGGCCCCACCTAGCTCCAAATGGTGACTTCCTATTAACTTGGCCTACATGGCAAGACCCCACTCGTGGACCAGGACACCTAATTACTTTTGCTATGCTAAGCTGTCATTCTTGCCACACTTCATTCCAAAGTGTTTAAACCTTATATGGGTTCCACCCCCATGGGGAATGAAGATATGCCCTTTCCCACTTCTTTTTCACCCACCACCTTGCACTCAACATCTTAACTATTCTTCCTTACACAAGGCAACTCATAAATACCTGTATTCATATTATACACAGAGCAATTTGAATCTTTGAGAATGCTATTCTGTTTAAGCTCCTAGTGAGAAAGGAAAAAATGAATCATTATGATTACTTCTATGGAATTTGAGAATGAAGCATTGACAAGCAACAAAAATTCGGGACCTAGTGATAATCCTTCTGGGTAGGAAATTATTAAAAATAAAAATAAAATCCTCTGTATTCTAAACGAATTTAAAGTCCAAATGCAAAAGTACCATTCTTGGTGATGTTGCCTTTGGACGGGAAGTAAATAAAGTACAAATACAAAGATGTTCTGAAATATCATATCTTGAAAGGAATTTTTTGCATTTGTAATTACATCAGAGAAAACTGTTGGTAAATAAAATAATTATTGTGTAAAAATTGAACCCAACATAAGAATATAAAAACCAAAACTCACCAATTAGTAAAAGGAAAGCAAATCAATTAGGTAAAAATTGCATTACTATTATGAAACTCTGAAACCTAAGTACAATCCAGTGCTGAGCTGATTATCTGCAATATATGTTGTCCTAGAACCTCTAAATTCAACATAAATCTGTGAACTACTCCATTCGATTCCGCTTTTAAAACAAATCCTTGACTTTAGTCCTAACTCACCTCCACCCAGCGGGGCATACATATGAGATTTCACTTAAAATCAACAAAAATTGCATCCGTCTCCTAAAACCCTAACCTAGGTAAAAATCCATGAAGAAAAGCCCTCATCTTGGCATCACAAATAGCCCAAAGACAGACAACAACAGCAACAAAGAGGGTGTGCAGTAAGATCAACTGACATCAAATGACTTAAACAGTAATTATTTACAGAAATTAAGATTCAAGTTGGAATGTAAAGAAGCTTGAGGTCGTTAAAGCTTACCTACAACGGCAGATGAACCCTCAGAACCCATATCCTGGAGCATTTGGAGTAGTTGAAAGGGGATTTGTATGGAAGGAAGAGAGAAATGAAGATTGAATAGTGTAGAAAGTAGAGATAGGGATAGGGGTAGGGAATAGGAGAACACCGTGGGGTGGCGAGGAGGTAAGTGATAATGGTCCCCCAGACTATGACTGCAATTTAACCATTCTTTACTCACAGCTCAAAAATCTTTTCATTATTCCCCGATGTGGTATTTATTTTATACTTTTTCTATCTGTTACAATTTAAAAAGTTAATATTTTAAATATGATCACAAATATATCATGAACACAAAGTGATTGGTTTCTAATGTAGTCTATTCTTAAAAAATTTATACTTTTTATTCATGAGTTATTAAGTAATTGTAAAATTCGTTCTTACTTATTGGTCATACTTATTTCTTAACTCTAAGTTGATGTTGCAAATTTCATTCTTTTACATTTGATTGTCCAAATAGATGCAATAACAAATAAGAAATAGAATAACCACCTTTGGAACAATTGGGAAGGGATAATTGCATATATGAATAGTTCAAATTCACTTTTGGTCTCTTGACTATGGTACATATATCGAATTTGTTACTTAATTATTTAAATTTTTAAAAATTAGTATATAATTTGTATCACATTTAGTTTTATCGCACAATTTTCTGGTCAAGTTTTCTACCAACTATTATCAGAATTTCAATGCAAAAATAATATGTTCTAACTAAAAGATTATTTTCAGCGAACTATTGTCGAAATGTTGATGGTTGTTTCAATGCAACCGTAGAGGCGGATTGTGTAATTAATGTAAAGAGAAGGGGTTAAAATAGGAATGGTTAAATCCAGGAAGGGCTGAAATTGGAAGCGGCAGATTCTGTAATTAATGTGTAGAGAAGGGGTTTAAATAGTAATAGTAAAACACAGAAAAGCGGCAGATTCTGTAATTAATGTGTAGAGAAGGGGTTTAAATAGTAATAGTAAAACACAGAAGGGGCTGATATTAGGAATGTTAAAATGTCAGAAGTGGGATTTGAACCCACGCCTTTTCTCAAAGACCAGAACTTGAGTCTGGCGCCTTAGACCACTCGGCCATCCTAACTTTTGTATTTTAAACCAAAATTAATCTTACTAATAGAAGGGGCTGATATTAGGAGATGTTAAAATGTCAGAAGTGGGATTTGAACCCACGCCTTCTCACGAAGAACAGAACTTAAGTCTGGCGCCTTAGACCACTCGGCCATCCTGACTTTTGTGTTTTGAACCAAAATTAATCTTACTAATACTTAGAAGAGGCTGATATTAGGAGATGTTAAAATGTCAGAAGTGGTATTTGAACCCACGCCTTCTCACGAAGACCAGAACTTGAGTCTGGCGCCTTAGACCACTCGGCCATCCTGACCTTTGTTTTTCAAAGCAAAATTAATCTTACTAATACTAGAAGAGGCTGATATTAGGAGATGTTAAAATGTCAGAAGTGGGATTTGAACCCACGCCTTCTCACGAAGACCAGAACTTGAGTCTGGCGCCTTAGACCACTCGGCCATCCTGACTTTTGTTTTTCAAAGCAAAATTAATCTTACTAATATCATAAAACTTCTTAGTATTAAGAAGTCAAAATTGAGTCTCGTGTATTGTTTTAATCCCTTATTTCACTTATATTGTTAGTTAAATCCACTCTTTGTTGAGTTCTTCTTGATAATATATAGTTTACTATGCTACATAATTATTCATTTAACGATAAAATATAAGAGAGATGAATAGGTAAGAAAGTGTTTTAGTTGTTCATATTTACACTGAACATACTTATAATAATAATAATAATAATAATGATAAATTTTAGTGTACAATCTAATACATACTTGCTGGGGGTTGAGAGAAATCTGTTGTAGTTTAAGCAGAAACCACAAGCTTTTTCTTGGTGTAATTTACAACACAGAGTGACTTAGAGAGTGAAGTGTAAATCCTACAACATCTCTACTTGGAAGAGGAAGAAGAAGAAGAGAAACAAACCCTACCTAAAGCTATTCTAAGGAGAGGGCGACACGACTAGTAGTTCGATTTCTTGCACCGCAGTAGAGACGCTAAGCTAGCGGTTTTTGTGTTCTCTTATACTACCAACTATGCCATAATTTAGCCGATACCATCATCACTTGGCGTCTTCCGAGCCCATGGCTGAGCCGGGTTGGGCGTCGGTGCCAGTAGAGGGGTTGCCTTGCTTGTTGCCACCGCTCGCATCGCTTGGAGCGGAAGTCGGGGGAGGGCAAGCGCCGGCACCGCCTCCGAGAGTGACCTCGTTGGGCGGCACCGGGTGCATGCCATTATTAGCAGCGCCCCCGGGTCGCACGCCCATTTGCCCTTGCATGGCTTGCTGCTGCTGCTGCTGTAGTTGCTGCTGTTCCTGCATTTGATGGTGCGGGGTACTGAACTGTAAGGGCATCTTTGCGGGGAAAATACCCGGTTGTGGTGTCATCGCTGCGGCCTGAGGATGCTGCATATAAAACCCGCCCTGCTGCATTGCCGGATGGGGAGCCATCTGCAAGAGTTTGGCAAACAAATAAGCATACGTTCAACGTTTTTAAGTGATGAAACCGAGTTGTCGAGTTCATAGCTCACCTGGGGGGGCATCGTCGGGGCTTGTGGTTGGGCATCCGCAATTGCAGCCAAGTACATCAGATTCTTTTGAAGTTGAGCTTGATACCTACAAACTCCAACTCTTTAGAATTACAAAATCTCTAGACAATCTCCAACAGGGGTTCTGGGGGCTTAGGATTAGTCTAGCCTAAACTAGGAAACCTAATGTATTTAAAAATAAAATAAAAAATCTTGACAATCCCACATATTATCCAGCTAGCATTAACGAAGTATCACAATTAGAGCACGAGAGAGAGAGAGAGCACTACTTACTGGGCACATTCAGCGAGTTTCCCAAGGTTTTGATTTTCTAAAATTGCCAAGATAAGTTTCTTATTGTCATCCAGATACTGCAAATAAGAACATATGCAAAGTTAACACAAGCGGAAAAACCAATATGATCAATCCGGGATCTAACAATTTGACGTGCCACGGGGCTGGAGTAAACTACTGGGTTTCATATTAGAAATGAGACTAGTAGTTCTGTATCATATTTAGCCGGGGAAAACGCAACCAAGAGTGCATATACACAATTTCTCTAGTCATCAAAAAGACACAATAGAAAAGACATGTCAAAAAATGTTCGAATTGCATTTATAGCTAATAAAGCATTGAATATTTATTCAAAAATGGGAACTAAGGTCTAAGGTCACTGAAGACAACCATATTGGCTCATTCTTTTCATCTTCAAAACTGTTGAGATTAACAAGAACAATAAACAATAATAATGGCAGAAAGTAAAGAAGGCAAGATTTACGTGGTTCGGAAATGTGCCTACGTCCACGGGAGTGAAGCTATTCTCCACTGGCCAGAGCATATTCGACAAGGTGGAGATTGTTGAGTTTGTCTTATATAGGGATTAGGAATATGAGTCAAACTCAACAAAAACCGATTAAGTTGATCACAACCGTGTAAAAGTTTCTATTAGAATAGTTAAACTATCCCTAACTTGAGTTCAGAAAGGTTGCTTAAACGCAAGTTTAAGAATAGTAAAAGTATTACTAGTTCCCTTTGAGCATAAATGAGTAACATGAGAGGTGGTCCAAGGTCACTTTAGAAGGAAGCATCCCGTAAAATTCTTGACCTATGCCACATAAGTGCCAGTAAAGTAAGCTCGGTCATGTTTGTTCGGAACATGAACAATAAGATTCATGAAAAAGAATTCTATAAGAGACAAAATATTAATGAATGAATGAATCAGTAATTTATTAATGAACTCTCTAAGTGCCACAAACGGCCAAATATCATAATTGTTGGACACAACACACGCAACTTGTTCTTCTCCTTTTCCCCTTTTTTACAATATTTTAAGGTATGATACTCCTGAAACATAAGGGCTCAAATAAGACAACCTTAGCACTTCAGCAACCATTCATGTGACTAAATCCCCAAATTCATCACCTTCTAATAATGATCAAGTCATATAGTCTTGAAATATAGAAAATAGAAACCATAACTCTAGTTGTAACCTAGCCCATTAGTTAGGCTCATTATATCCTTATATAAGCATGTCTAGCCTTCTTAGTTTGTATGTAATCTAATGCAATCTATTATTATTATTATTATTGTTAAAACATTTGTGGGAAAATTGCACTTTTGGTCCCTCAATTGTTATTCATTATGCAATTGTCCTTTATTGTCAGTTTTTAGAAGTCCAGTCCCTCAAATTGTTTCAAACGTTATCAATTTGGTCCCCCGAATAACTTGTCGTTAAACTTCCATTTGTTTTAGGATTTTGCACAATTTTGTTTTAAAATTTCACATGCACCTTAATTAGTTCAAATCTACTTCTTTTCATTAGAGATTAAAAAATTTAAACATAAAAATAAAAAAAAATACAATCACATGCTAACACAAATTTAAAAAGAAAGAAATCGAGAAACTTGCACATACTATAGCAAGAAATCCCCTACAACACTTTGAAAAAAAATGCATAAAACTTAAGAGCTTTTTTGAATAATAATAGTAATGATTATAAAAGTAGTTTTAACTATACATATGAAATACCTTTTGAATCTGCTCAGTGGTGATATTGGCGGGTGGAAAAGAATGCATGACTGGGATCATTGGTGGTGGTTGCTGCATCCCTTTTTGCTGCTTAAACCCTCACTCTAATTATCAACCTTGAAAGTGTCTTCAAATTCAAGAACCCTACTTCTGAGTTCTGAAAAAATCCAGCTTAAAAAAAAAATTAATGATATGAAAAAGATTTGAGCTTTGGGGTGGAAGAAAGATGGGTAAATTGTTAAAGGGATAAGAATCAAAACAAAGAGTTCTGACAATGGGTACTGGGTAGTGGGTTAGGTGGAACTTCACTTTTTTTGTTTTTGGAGGTTTGGGGAGAGAGTTTTGGAAGTAAAGCATTTTTAGGTAAAATGGCAAATTTATTTTTTTATTTTTTTTATTTTTTAATTTTTTACAGTTACAGTTTTACCTTGGCGGGAATTCACCCAAACAAAAAAGTACCACATACATGATACATGTGACTCATTTTGAAGGGCAAATCCGTCCCAACTCCTAGAACAAACAAAAGGGTTCTCAGTTTTCACCAAAAGATTCTTTTTTTTCTTAATACAAAATCAACTAAGAAAACCAGAAACCTGTGTACAATTCAGTACCAAGCTGATTATCTGCAATATATTTTATCCAAAAACCTTGAAATTTGACAGAAATTTATGAACTGAACTTTTGCCCAAACTCACCTCAACCCATTGGGATATACACACAAAACTCCACTTCAAAGCAACAAAAATCACACCCGTTTCCTAAAACCCTAACCCAGATAAAAACCCGTTATAAAGCCCTCATCTTGGCACCACAAACAGCCAACGACGACAAAACAGATGCTCAGTAAGATCAACTGACATGAAATGACTTAAAACAGTAGAAAGCAGACAGAAAAAAACAGAAATTACTCAGAGATAAACTAAAGATGAAGTTGCAATGCAAAAGGGGTTTACCTAAAACGGCAGATGATCCTTGTGAAGACGACGGTGAAGTAGTTGAAAGGGAATTTCTATGGAAGAGAAGAGAGAAACGGACAGAGCAGAGAGTGTAGAAAGTAGAGGAGATAGGGATTTGGCAGGGTGGGGTAGGGAGCAGGAGAACGCCGTGGGGTGCCCAGGAGGTGACTCATACATAAATCATAAAAAATGGTCCCAAACTCCAGTGCTTTCTAGATAGATAATAAGCTTATAGATGGTAAAAATGGATTCTGAATTTGTTATTTGAAATTTTAGCCATTCAGTAAATTTTTCCTTTTTAAAAAAAAAAAATAAAATAAAGCTGAATTCATAAAATTAAAAAGGAATGGCAAGTAAAAGTGAGGAATAGAATCTCATACCTCAATTTAGTTGGCTTAACGGAATAGGAATGAGAGACGTTGATATTGAAATTGATTCACAGCTCGTTGTTCATGTTTTATCTTCGGATTTGTTTATTTCGGTTTTTAGTTTTATTATAGATGATGTAACAGAAACTGCATCCATGATTAATGGTGTAGTCTTCCGTTTTGTTAAACGATCTGCGAATTGTGCTGTCCACATTGTTGTTCGGGAAGCCGTTTCTGAGTCAAGTTGCAGGGAGTGGCTGGACACTCCGCCTCTGTCTTGTTGATTGTCTTTCTTCTGATTTAATGCATTAATCTTTTCTCTTGAAAAAAAAAAAAAAAAGAACCTCATACCTCAAATCAAACTGAGAACTCATAGTCTTAGCTAGTAAATGAGTTGTATGGTTTACTGATCCACGAACATGAATAAAGCAATAGTGCTAAGATGATAAAGGAAGGAGAAGCTGAATCCATATGTAAATAGAGATAGAGATATTTGTGTAAATAAATTTGATAGAATTGAAAGTATGGGTGTTGCCACTTTTTGATTTAGTATATGGATTGAATTTCATATGACTGGGTAACTTTTCAATATAAAGTTGGCATTTCTCTTGATTTTGCAGAACTTTGGACTATTTAGTATGAACTTTTATTGAGTTGGAATAATGGCTTAAAGATATTGGATTAGAGAGTAATATATGTATTGCCATTAAATCTAACTAGCACTCAATAGCAAATTATTGTGTGGATCACGGTCCAAAATAACGTCGTTAAATTTTATGAGTTAGAATAATGTATTTTATGTGTTAAAATAATAAAACTTCTAGAGTACAATAATGTACTTTATGAGTTAGAATAATGTACATTATAAATTATAAAGATGTATGTTGTAGTGAATCGCGTAAAAAAAAAAATACGCGAACCTATAATCTATATTGTCACGTGCTCGTGTTGCAACGTAGTACTAGTGGCTAGTGCAGTAGTGCGCTATATCACAATGAAATAAAAATGTGGGGTTTAGGCCTTTGGAAGTGAGAATTGGTTGATGGTTTTATCTTTTTTATTTTGCTCCATGGGACTTGTGGCATTTCCATGTTACCCTTTAGTAGACAAAAATGGCCCAAAGGGGGCTGAAGAAGTGATGAGGAAATACATCAACACCACTAAGGAGATATCTGAATTACTAAATGTGTTTAGAGAATAAAATTAAGTGGTAAATTTTCTTGTTAAGAAATTATTTTTACATAGAAAAGGGCTCAAATTCATCGATGTTTCTAAAAGAGTATTTTAAAAAAATTTCAAAATATGATGACTTCGATATGTTGTCAACGTTCAAAATATGATGACTTCGATATGTTGTCAACGATTAAAAGACAACTTTATTGCTGGGTCAATCCTCCCTTCGATGTGTTGATCTCTATATGCTTGTAAATTTTAAGACATTGATTAGCTACATCATGAAAGTATGCAGCTAGCAGCACACCATCTAAGAAATATTTAAAAAAAAAAAAAAAAAAAAAAAAAAACAGTACAGTAGTTTTTATCCATTAATTATAAAGACTTAAGTCCATGTCACATGCAAAATTTATATGTCACAGCTAGCAGCACACCATCTAACAAATATTTTTTTTAAAAAAATAGTACACTAGTTTTTATCCATTAATTATAAAGACTTAAGTCCATGTCACATACAAAATTTATATGTGTAGTGACAGTTTTAATTCACTACTAACAAATTCTGTTAATATTAACAATGCATTTTAAATTTCTAAATAAAAAAATTTCAAATTAGCCATCAAATTACAATTAAGTCATTCAATAAAAAAAAATTGGCTAAAATTATGCTGAAGAACTAAACATAAACACGACCCTGCTTCGCCAGAGTTTCCAATAATACAATCCAAAACCAACTATTTATATTAGTAAAGTAAAGGGAAATTTTACATTGAAACTATACCTAATTTCACTTGGCAAAATAAACTAGTAGAAAGACATATGGTTGGGTAGAACATTAGAACAATAAATCATCACATTCAAAGGATCTCTGCACTTTTTTGCACTGAATTATCTTTCACCTCAGCCCAGAAAGTGCATCTATCCATTCAGTTGGCTGTAAAAAAAATTTAACTAAAAAGAACTACTTGGCTAAGTTTGATTGAGAACTCTTTAATCAATCATCATCCTCGGATTCTACATCGTCCTCTCTATTTGCTCCTTCAATTGCAGCACTTTCTTGCCTTTGTTCTCGGCGAGTGTTATCTGAAACAAATTCAATATTTGTTACTCCGTATTTATGTATTTATTTTGAAAGGGTGGAAGAGAGGTTGGGGATTAATGGGTGTGACACATATCCGATTCAACGTGCAAGGTTGAATCTGAGCATAAGGCTTCCTGCATAATACCAAGGTTTCCTCACCTTTACCAGACGCTAAAATCTTCATCAGAATTGTCTTCACAAACACGAATTCCTCCTGATGTCGACTGACAAACCTAGACTGAAAATCCAGAAACATAACGGGTCATCCAAGGTTGCAAATGTAAGTCTAATCAAATGTCGAACAGGGTTTTCTTAATATGTAAAAAGAGAAATATTCAAAACATTATAGGATAAAGAGAAGTGTTCTGAGTTTGCTAAATATGGACCATGCAACATATCATAAAAGGATCAAAATGTGTAAATTTTTACCATTTCACCATATAAAAATCCAACAATTTGGTCAAGCCTAGCCTGATGCTCCAATAGGAAAGGCCGAAGATGATTCATATACACTTGCTTTGCACCCTGCCATACGTAAATTTCCTAAGCAACTTCTACAAGTTTCAAGTGGCTTCACATAGTAACACATAAAAAAAGAGAGCATTGACTGGACTTACATCAATAGATGGAAGTTGAAGCCAAACAAGAAATGCAAACTTGGCATGATAGTATAGTGGAAACCTGATTATATTGAAAACGAGTTGTCCACATATTAAAGGTTGGATTGTCAGAAAACTGAAATTTCTAATTACTAAATCATAGAATAGTAAATACAATAGCTTAAGGGACAGGAAAACAGGATATAACATGTACCAGTAAAGAAGCTTATCTGTGAACAATTCTACCATACTAAAAGATCCATAAGCTGCAAGCAAAATGAACAGTCTTCTTCAGTTCTAAGAGATATACACAAGAAAGAACACTACAAACTGCATAGTAAAATTGTCAAAACACTGCAGGTAACAACTGCTCGTGAATTAGTTTAGATTCACTAAGGTTACTTAGCCTTGCTAATCCTTTCCATTTATTTTCCTTGATTTATTTTATATATTTAGTGACTAGACAGTAACTATATAATTGTTTCTGCTCCCTTTCATCGCTTAAACTGTGGTAACATGAAAATAACCCCCCCCTCCCTCCAAACCACCCAAAAAAAACCCAGAGTATAATGCGAGGGAAAAACTGCTGCTAGCTACAGATGTTAATAACTTAATAAAGCAACAAACTATAGCCATAAAAATAAATAAATGAAAAAATAACCAACACCAGCAACATAATTTTGTAACCCACTACAACATTCATCAAGAAGATTAAACAACACCACCAACCTGCCCAGTACATGAGCCATTTCTTTTGCTCCTCTTGATCCCTTCGTTCAATTGCACTAAATGTAGAATAAACAGGTAAAACAACACCTACAGAACAGCTGCAGAAACCACACATTGGTGAAGCCTCATAAATAAGAGTTGCCTAATCTTCAATGCATGAAATGAATATTCTAATTCTAGCAATTAGAATTACATAGATAATTTCTTTGCTCTACTACTTTTTATCAGGAGTTCTATTGATCATTGCAGCAAGCAACATTGATATTTGATAATCACTCTACTAATATACACAGTTAAGTATATAGAAATGGATCACCTTAAAGAAAATCATGCCTTGTACTGAATACTGATAGGTAAATACAAAATAAATATAAAACAGAGATAATAATAAATAAATAAAAAGACCTGTAAAAGCTCACCTTGCTGTTCGAACAACAATGTTAGAACCTAGTGGACTAAGAAGCAGCCGCAACCCAACCTGAACCAGTTAGATTCACATTACTAAAACTAAGAACTTAGGCATAAAGAAACCTATTTAAGCAACTATAAGGATCTCATTTCTTACAAGAGCACCAACCACATCTGAATGATAAATACCAGCCTTTTACTAAATACAAACAAATTAAAAAGAAAACAAACCATAACCACCATTTCTGTGGGTCTGAATGCACAAGGCTCAAGGCCAAACTGTTTGCTTCATAAATCAATCACATATCAACATCGTTTTTGTTAAATGACCTTTTATTCAAATCTTTCAGCTAAATTTCATAAAGTCAATTGTCAGGCAAAACACCTCCCAAGCTCCCACAGTTCCACCATAAGGTAGGAAATAGTATTTTGGACTATGTTTCACTCACCATCAATGTCACATGTATTATCAAGCCCTAATTTCTAAAGTAATTTCAAATCATACCATAACATATACAGAGTATATCATATATAATTCTTGATGCAGAGAGTGATAATTTTGTGACATTTTGGTGCATGTGGTGCCCCACTGGCAAAGTGGCACCAGAATTAATCCGGCCTCAACAAGTGTACACATGGAAATAACATTGCTTATCGTTATACTCCATCAACATTATAAATGTAATATCACATTTCATTTAACTGTGCTTGTTCTAGACATGGCAACCAAAATGTGTAGTTATCAGAAAAACAATGAATTAAATAAAACAATATGTTCTATGAAACTGAAATGGAGTGAATATACT